AAAAAAAAAAAAAAAAAAAAAAGAGGCCTCAGAGCCTCCCTCCCACCATGGGAGGACTCACTGAAGAGATCCAGGAAGCAGGCCCCCAGCAGACCCCCAAGTCTGCCGGCACCCTGGTCTCGGGCTCCAACCTCCAGGACAGAGGATGAACATGCCTGGGGTCTGAGCCTCACAGACCTCCATGTCGCGGCAGCCCCGGACCAAGCCAGCCCCGGCCAGGGTCCTCCTGCCCTTATTCTGCCTGGGCGAGCTCAAGGCCGTGCTGCAGTCTCGGACTGTTCCAGAAGTCTGCCTTCGGGGGCCCCACCGTGAAGGCCAGCCCTGCCGCCTCCCTCCCTCCTCCAGCTGGGCCTTCAGTTCACAGCCCACCACGCCTGCCCCCCCTGTCTCCAGGAGGATGGGCCCGGCCAGCCTGCTGACTCGCCCACCTCCACCGGCCCCACTCCACTCCGTGAGGACAGGGTCTGGTCGCCTGTTCACTGCCGCGCCACCAGGGCTGCAAGATGCCTGGCCTACAGTGGGCGCTAGTGAACGAATGAACGCGCACTCGAACCAGTGAGGGCAGACCCACAAAGCAGCCGTGAAAGTGAGGCCCAGCGCCCAGAGGCAAGGCAGCATGGGCTGGACGGAAGCCGCCAGTGATGGGATACGTTGGTCAGCGAATGTCCCAAGGCAGAGCAGAGGACATCCGAAGGCCCGTGGGAGTTCCCTTCCCCTGTGAAGACTAGGCTGCAGGGCCTCCGGCCACGCTAGACGGTGACTTCAGAAAACAGGCTTCACCCCAATCTCGAGAGGATGCTGGAACCCACAGGGCCACAGGGACGTCCAGGTCGGGGATGGTGGCGTCACTGTCACTCTGCAGCCGGGAGCGCCAGCAGCCTCATGAGCCTGGGCCTGGCCGCCTCCTTCCAGAAGCAGCAACGTAGGCCGGGCACGGTGGCTCACGCTGTAGTCCCAGCGGCTTGGGAAGCCAAGGTGGGAAGGCTGCTTGAGTCAGGAGTTCGAAACCAGCCTGAGCAACATAGCAAGACCTCGTTTCTACAAAAAAGCAAAACATTTGCTGGGTGTGGTGCGGTATGTCTGTCGTCCCAGCTGCTCGGGACCAGAAGCTTGCACGTTCTGCACTCTAAGAGGCAGCTGCAGTGGACTATGAGAGACCACAATGGGTCACCCAGCTGCTGGCCACCGTGATGGGCCGGGGGCCAGAGGGGGCACCGGCCAGCTCCGGCTCTGCTGCAAAGCCCAGGCGGAGAGAGAGGCTGTGTCCTCAGCCCACTGGGCCCCGGTGGCCTGCTCTGAGCCTAACCTGGGGGCGGGGGAGGCTGGGCGAGCCTCTACCAGCCACGCCGGACCCAGCCTGAGGCAGAATCCCGAAAGAAGGCGACCCCGGCTACAGCGGCAAACCTTGCCGCCAGCTCCTGACTTGCCACCTCCCTGTCCCAGAACTCAGTTTGCTGACCACGCCAGCACCGAGGACCTGCCCAACCCCTTCCCTGCTCTGGGTCTCGCCCACCCTGGGCCACTGTCTTTCTAGGTCAGTGTCCCCTGAAGGCTGATTCCAGGAGCGCCTGGGTTGGACTCTCGCCAGGAACTGGCTCCTCCCCAGGCCACAGGAGCCAAAATCTCTGGGGGAACCTGGAGGTCTTCCCCTCCAAGGGCATTTTCCATGTGCTGGGTTTACAAGCCACGGTGGCCGGAGCCCCCGGGCGACCTGCTGGCTGGACAGGGTCCCCTGGACTCTGGGTGGGGACCGGCGCACACCCGGCTCACGTCGGTGTCCCCTGGAGTTTCCACCTGCTGAAACCTGGGCCCACTCGAGACCCTGCCCTGCTTGGCGTGGCCTGGAGGCGGGGATTTTTGGAGCTGGGTAACTCCCGTGCTCAGCGTGTGTGGGCCGCTCCATTCCTTCGAGAGTAAACTGGCGTGTTAACAGGACCTGTAATTTTTTTCTTTTTGAGTTTCTTTTGAGTCGGGGTCTCACTCGCACCATCACAGTCACTGCAGCCTCAACTTCCTGGGCTCAAGTGATCCTCCCGCCTCAGCCTCTCGAGTAGCTGGGACTGCACACAGGCAAATGCCACCACACTCGGCTTATTTTTTATTTTGTTTTTTGCACAGATGAGGGTTCACAGTGTTGTCCAGGCAGGTCTCGAACTCCCAGCCTCAAGCAATCCTCCTGCCTCAGCCTCCCAAAGTGCTGAAATGACAGGCGTGAGCCACCACGCCCAGCCCGGCCCTGCTCTTTGAGCCATCCAAACCCCCTCTGGGGGACACACCTCTGGCCCCAAACGTCCTCACCAGGAAAGGCCAGCCTCTCCCGTCCCTGTTCTGTGGCAGGTCCGCCCTCCGGTGGTCTCCAAGACTGAACACAACAGGACTGCAGATTCTCAGTGGGCGAGGCACGCCCCCTGCTGGCGCCACGTGGTTCTGGCGCTGCGCTGCTGGTACCAGCTCGCTTGGGTTTTCAGGACGGGACTACCAGGGTCCCCAGCCTCCAGGAAACACCATCTTGTGTGACTATTCGGAGAAAAGACAATGCAGCGGCTGTTGGAATTTTTCATTGGCATCAAAATATTTCTAGAGGACGCTCCGGCTGGGAGGTCGGGGCAACTTCGGATGGGCAGGTCGGAGGGCGTGGGAGCTGGTGGGGACCGAGCACTGTGAGGAAGGAGTTGGGCACCCAGCAGCCCTCTGTGGGCGGAGGCTCGGCAACCGGCAGCATGGCTCCAGCCTGGTCCGGGGTACGGCCCAAGGAGGATGGTTGTGGGGGAGGGGATGAGGGGGGAAGGAGAGAGACAGAGAGGGAGTGAGGGAGGGAGAGGGAAGGGAGGAGAGAGAGCCGGAGGGAGAGAGAGAAGGAGAGAGGGAGAGACAGAGTAAGAGAGAGACAAAGAGAAGGGGAGAGGGAGAAGGAGGGAGGGAGAGACACAGAGTGTGCGTGAGAGAGAGTGAAAGAGAGAAACAGAGATGAGAGAAAAAGAGTGAGAGACAGACAGACAGAGAGAGAGAGAGACAGAGACACACACAGAGAGACAGAGAGAGGAAGAGACAGAGAGAGGGCCGGAGGGAGAATCCACCCCCCCCACCGCCCCCACTGCCCCCACCGCCCCTCTGCCCTGCCCGGGTCTGCTTAGTCTTCGAAATGTTGCTTTAGCATCGGGGTGCACGTGCGGGTCCTTTGCCTACCGCAGGACGCTGAGGTCTGGGTGTCTGTGAACCTTTCCAGACGGTGAGCAGGGACCGGAGGGCACTTCTCATCCTCCCCTCCTCCCTCCCGCCAGGGGCCCCCATGTCTGCGACACCCTCCTTCACGTCCCTGTGCATCCAGCACTCAGCTTCCCTCGTGGAGGAGAACACGTGGCATTTGGCTTTCAGCTTCTGCATCGGTTTTCCTGGAACAATGGCCGCCAGCTGCATCATGGCCATGTGGCACTCCATGGTGGCTGTGGGCACATCGTCTTTGTCTTGCCCCGGTCGGCGGGCACCGAGGTCCGCTCGTCCCACTGCTGCTGTGGCGGGCGCTGCGACAGGCATGTGCGTGCGGGGTCTTTTGGAAGAACGATGTCTGCCCCTTGGGCGGCCCCGCAGCCTCGCAGGTGTCCGGGGCCAACTTCTGTGGGCAGCATGGGCGCTCGGTCCCGGCTGCCCTGTACCTGGCCCCTGGGCGCAGGAACCTTCTGGCAGTCACCGATGGCGTCCTCTTCCCCCTTGAGCCAGTCCCTTTGGCATCGGCCCCTCCTTCCCCAGGTGCGAGCCTCCCAGCCTCCCAGCCTCCCTGGGGTCCCAAGCGCTCTCTGCCTGGCTCGGCTGCCCAGGAGCCCGCCTGGGGCCCCATCCTCCCCTCAGGGCCTCTCACCACGCCTGGGAATGCCTGTTCCGCTGCAGGACTGTTCTATTCTGTGTCCCTCTGGCCCGAGTCCCCGTTCCGCGAGCTCAGCAACTGCGTTTGTTCGTCCGAGTGTCCCCAGGCCCTGAAGCCGTCTGGCCTGGGAGAGGCTCACAAACCCTTCCATGCGCCGGAGGAATGGCGATGAAATCGATGACCTATGACCCCCTCCATCCTCCACACATTCACAGATTCATTCACTCATTCAGAGAGGCCCACGGAAGGTCCCCTTCCCAATGGCCAGTTCCTTTGCCTGCCGTGATGGTGAGACCAGGCCAGGTCTCAGGGGTGTCCCTCATATAGCATCTTCGGGTCCCAGGGTTGATGATGGAGCGTCTGACATCTTACAGCTGTCATAAGGAAGCATTTCAACACCTCACTGCCGTCACCCAAGTCTGTTGTGGAAGAGAAGTGGCCTTCCTTGGAGCAAACACCGTCAGAAGGTGGATGTGAGCGGACCAGGCTGAGTGGAAGGCCCAGTGCGGAGGACACTTGGACAGCTCCAGAGGGAAACTGCCAGAGAGGAAGCTGAAAAGGAGACAAAATGTGGTGCGGAGCCTCTGAGGCAGGGGCAGGGCTCACGCAGAATCCACGCCAGGAGTCCAGCTGTGGTCGGTGGTCCCCGCTGGGGGTGGGTTTGCCCCATGTCTCCCCTGCGGCCTCTGCCACACTCGGGACACGTCACATGACCACAGACCCCGAGAAAAGGGCTGTCCCGATGTCAGGAAGGTCAGTGAATGCAAAGCAGAAGCATGCCCATGGCAGGACGGAGGAGAGGGCCGTGAGAACACTAGCCCCTGGGGGCTTGCAGAAACCATGGGGACACAGATGGGGGACTTCAGGCCATCTCAGCTACATCTCCTGAGGTAGACAGCTTGCACTCAAATGCCAAAAACGTCACTATGATTCTGTTTTAAATACGCCCAAGGAGACTGGCATCGAAGAAGCTGTCCTGTTTTTCATGTGTTTTATTTTATTCCTATTTATTTTTGTAGAGACTGGGTCTCACTACGTTGCCCAGGCTGATCTTGAACTCCTAAGTGCAACGGTCCTCCTGTCTCAGCCTCCCAAAGTGCTGGGTTACAGGCACGAGCCCCCGCCACCTGCTCTTGTTTGGATGAGGGTCATTGGAGGCGATGCCGGCCCTCGACAGAGCTACCCTGCTTGGCGAGAGGCCGGTCTGTGCAGCCCCGGCTGTCTCTGTGGGCAAGCACGTCTCAGTCCCGCGCTCCGTGTGGCGCCAGCCCTCGGGGCCTCTCCCTCCTCCTGCTGAGGCCCGGGCCTCCCTCCAGGACCTCATGGCCCTGGTCTCTTGCCAGTTCAGCACCAACTTGGTCTTGATCTGGGCTCGGGGCCCTTTCTGGGAGCTGCCCACCCGCCGGGCCAGATGGCACCCCTCGCCTGACACCAGCAGGTGCCCCGAAGCTCACGTGCCTGACGCCGCCCACAGGTGTGCCCAGGGAGACCACGGGCTCGTCGCTGTCCCCGGAAACCTCCCCGCATCAGGGGCCAATCCCCAAACACACACATGCACACACATACTCAGGTGTGCGTGCACCCCCACACACGCACACATGCACATGCGCACACATGTGCGCACACCGCACCCCTCTGTGCACACACTCACACACACGCACACAGGAGCACACCCATGCACACACGCACGTGCCCCCAGAGCTGTGACTGAGTCGGCTCGACCAACCCCCCACTGGCTTTCCGAGACAGAAGTCAGGCCCTCTGGAACACGAGGACTCGGTCGGGTTGGGGGCGCAGTGTCCTGGCCCTCACTTCGGAGTTGCCACGGGAGGACAGCCGCGCTCAGCGGGAAGCCAATGGCCGGTGTTTGTGGCGGCTGCTTGAGGCTCAGGCCCAACCCTCCATGGCACAGATTCTCTCCAGGGAGGGAGGAGGCCAGCCCCCACACAGCCTTCTCCATGTCCCAGCAGGGGCCACCAGGCCCCCTGCTCCGCGGCACCGCGTGGGCTCCCAAAGGGGACGGCGCAGGAGGGGCCGGGAGAGGAGCTGAGGGAAGCCGTGTAGCCGCTCTGTCTTCACAGACCGAAGGCTCTGGGGCGAGTGGGTGCCACCAGCTCCCCAGGGACAGACTCCGGACTGCCTTCCTGCGTCCCAGACCGGGCGTGCCCCGAGCGGCCGTGGGCCTCCGGGCCGGGGCGCCCCCACGGCGCCTCTGCCGACTCCTTAGCTGTCCTGGTTTTACCTGAGGGGAGAGGGGGAGGTGGACACACAGCGGACCCCGGAACAGCCTACTGTGGGCGACGAGGACAAAGGGTTCATTCTAGAAAATCCGTGGACGTGGGCGTGGCTTCATGGCCCAGACAGTGCCCCTTGAATGAGGGGCTGGCGGGTCGCGAGGGCACTGGGGGCCACCAAATCCCAGCCGCATCCCAAAGTCGTGTGTGCAGAGCGGGGAAGCCCCGGGGCCTGGCCACCCCCAAGGCGACCCTGAGCAGAGGGCCATGCTCAAAAGCCGCAGGGAGGGCCGGGCATCCTGCTGCAGGACGGCACAGGAGAGCAGATCTGGGATCCAGGACAGACTGGCAAGAGCCACACCCGGGACCCCCCTGCCAGCCTGCCCATGGCCCTGCCCCCAATATCCCTCGCCCCACTCAGGCCTGTGGCCCCCGGTGCTGCCCAGCGTGGCCGCCCAGGCTGCCGGGTCTGGGTACCTGGCTTGGCCCCCGTGAGGAGCGGGCGCCACACAGACACTGCGCGGGGCCTGAGGCCGGTGGTGAAGCCCAGGCCTGTAGCAGACCAGCGCAGCCTGGCAGCCTCAAAGGGAGCAAGGGAGCCGGGGTGAGCGCAGAACGTGGGCTGCCACCCTGGCTTCCAGGCCCTCCCCACCTCAGGGAACCCAGGTTCTGCACTCGAGACCCTCACCCCGGCACAGGGCCGGGACATAGCACTGCCATCTTTCTGGGCCTCTGTTATGGGGGTGGCTACGGCCAGGTGTGGTGGCTCACTCCTATAATCCCAGCACTTTGGGAGTCTGAGGCAGGAGGACTGCTTGAGGCCTGGAGTTCAAGACCAGCCTGGTCAACATAGAAAAACCTCGTCTTTACCAAAAAAAAAAAAGGAAAATTACTCAGGAGTGGTAGCATGCACCTGCAGTCCCAGCTACTTGGGAGACTTAGGCAGGAGGCTCGCAAGCTGAAGCTGCAGTGACCGTGTTTATGCCACTGCACTCCAGCCTGGGGAACAGAGCAAGACCCTGTCTCTAAAAAGATAAGCCATAACCTGGGGGCGGAGGGGCCAAGCTGCTGTGCCCTCAGTCCTCCTCCCAGGGACACAGCGAAGACTGGCGAGGAAGTGGATGGAGAGAGGCTTCAGAGTGCCCCCGCAGGGCAAGGCCAGCTGGGTTCTCAGCACACGGGGCTTGTCTGTCTGCCCCAGCCCCTCCTCCCACCACATGGCCAGGAACACCGCATTGGCCCTCCCCCCCAGGCAGAGGGAGGGCGCCGGCCAGGCGGGGCCCATGCAGGGGCCCCTGGAGGGGGGAGTGGTGGCAGGGCCTGTCCCCACCCACCACTGTCCTCGCGTCTGGGGGGGGAGGGGCGGGCAGGAGTGAGGCTGTGCTCCTCATCATCACCTCCGGGTCAGCTGAGGCTTCAGCTACTTTGCGAACTCGAAGAGCACTGAGCGTCTCCCACTTTCCGTGATTTAGTTTTTGAGTCAGGGTAGCACTCTGTCGCCCAGGCTGAGTACAGTGGCACAACCACGGCTTGCCGCAGCCTCGACCTCCTGGGCTCAGGTGATCCTCACTGAGTTGCCGGGACTACAGGCACACACCACCACACCAGGCTGTTTTTGTTTTATTTTGTGTGCAGACGAGGTCTTGCTATGTTGCCCAGGCTGGTCTCAAACTCCTGGGCACAAGCGACCCTCCCACCTCAGCCCCCAAGTGCTGGGATCACACCGCACCCTGCCTTGTGTTTCTATTTTAAGCACCAAGACTTGAGTGGTTGAGTTTTGAGTGTTCGGGGTGGAAATGATTCTAACATGTATTAAATGCTCACCGACCGGTTATGACCCTCTAATGACCATCTACGGAAGACTGTGTGTGCCATGGGCATCACAGGTGACCTGCACTGTCCTGAGGTTAGCGTGATGTGTCCCCATGCTCCCCCAGGTGATCCTAGCCACACCTGATGGTGTCTGACCCGTGTGGTTTTGGTCTTCTTGATGTCGTCACGATTTGGCAGCTGGCTACCAAGTCTTCCCATCCCGAGACCTGCGACCAGTGCCTCCGTTCATTTTATCGTCAGAAACCCGGGCCAAGTTCACGAGAATGGAATTCAGAACGAAAGCGGATGCCATGGAGTTGGCTGTCAGCAAAACCTTTTTGAACTGTGACCTTTGAGACACAGTTTTATAGCAACTATTTTGGGGGCTCGAAACGGATCTCCCTTACCTGAGTCTTCGGCTACCTGGGTGCTGACTTCACCCTGGGAAGTGAGGTGTGTTTTCACCCCCCCTTTTTGACTCGGGGTCTCACTGCATCACCCAGACTGGAGTGCAGTGGCACAATCACAGTTCACTGCAGCCTCGACCTCCTGGGCTCAGGCGATCCTGTCACCTCAGCTTCCTTAATAGCTGGGACTACAGGAGCCCACCACCACGCCCAACCAATTTTATTTTTTTTTGTAGAGGCAGGGGTCTCCCTGTGTTGCCCAAGTTGGTCTCAAACTCCTGGGCTCAAGCAATCCTCCCACCTCAGCCTCCCAAAGTGGTGTGACTACAGGCGTGAGCCACCATGTCCAGCCACCTTGTTTCAATAAAATCATGAGCTTGTCCTCCTCTGATAGGTCTTCAAGGTCTTCAGGGGTCCTGGTCGACTGTGTGGGCCAAATGCACGATTCTGAGCGGCCACAGGTTGAAGGTCTCACTGGGAGCACACGGCTTGGAGGCTGGAGAGGAGGTCGAGGCAGAAACCAGGAACTCACCTGGTGGTTTCAGTTCGAGCCCTGTACAAAGGACAGTCGCAGAGGAAGAGCCCACTGGAGTGGGTGGGAAGCCCCGGGGGTCCTGGCAGGCCCTGTAGCTGTGGATGTCTCCTCCCCGCCCCGTCTGTGTCTGTGGCGCAGGGTGAGATGGGGGGGGTGGTTCCAGGCCTGCGTCAGAAGGCCAGGCTGTCACCCAGGCTGGCGTGGGTCCTCTCATACTAGAGGATGCAGTTGGCACTCACCCCTACCCCAGCAGCAGCCACAAATGACCCTCACGGGCCCTGGCTGGGCCCAAGTTCCAGAGACACCGAGCACCCCAGCTCAGACATCCTGGTCTCAGGCGCCGAGAGATCCTTCACTCGGGCAGACCCCAGGGTGGCTCCTTGCCCGAGGAGGAGAAATCTTCCTTACTTTGCTTTAGAAATATTTCATAATGCTTATTTAAATGCTTAAGACGTTCAGAGAAAGAAAAGCTGCCATCTCTAAACAGCCCTGGGCCGGAATCAAACTGAGGAGGGAGAGACCACCCACTCCCACCAGAAGGATGGCCCGGTGAAAGGCGACCCCCCCCCACGTCCCTGGGTACGTCTTGGAGGCTCTGGGGGTGGAGGTGGGCACAGTCGGCGAGCCTGCCACGGGGCTTGATGCAGGCTGGGTTCTGAGCACTGCTGACCCGGGACCTGGCTCTCACCTCGGCGACCCGCTAGAAACTTCGGAGCATTTGGGAGACCTGAGCAACCCAGGGGCCATCTCAGACCAGCCGACACGGGACGTGGGGGTGGGGTCCTGGGAGGAGCCCTGGCGCCTCTTGGCTGACTCCGGTGTCCTTCTGCCCCAGAGTCACAGCCCCATGGTGCCCCCTGAGATCCTCCCACCTGAGGATCCCGCCCCCAGGTCCAGTGCTGATAAAGACCCCTGGGGACATGGACGCAAGCAAAGGACTGACAGAGCGCCAGGAATCCAGAGGAAACAGAATGTCCCCACCCCCA